ATGGCACTCCGGGCTACGTCGACCCCACTTATGCCGCACCCGCAGGGCCACGCCTAGTGCTGACGTGTACAGGTGGGAAGATGCGGCGTGTGTGCATGCACGCGTGTATGTGTCCATCTTCCATGCAGTAACATGGCACTGCATGTGCATGACACACAGTAGCTGCTTGCCAGAGAGTCGCCTGTTGACGCATGCTGCCCGATCACTCATTGTTCGGACGGCATTTTGCTCATCAAGAGCCACCCACCATGCCCTTGCCCTTTCCCTCGCCTCCCTCCACTACGTACATCTCTCCACGTATTTTCGTCTCTTCCCGCTCTGTCCTTCTTCCTTTCCCCCTCTCCCTCTCTCCCCCCTTCTTCACCCCAGCTTTGGCCTGGTCATGATGGAGTTGCTCTCGGGCAAGCGCGTGGTGCTGCCATGTGGTGGGTGTATTGCACATCAAGGATTGGGTATGCTTCTATGCATGGTTCTTTCCACAATGTCCTTAACCCTAAATCACAAAGCTGCTCGTTGTCTGTTTTCCTTGGTCATTGTTTGTGCTCGGGAAGTCAGTGTGTCCCCTCCATAGTCGCATCTGTCTTCCCCTCCCATCTTCCTCCTCCCTTCCCTCCTTGCCCTTCTCCTGCTGTCTCTTCCGTCTCTCACTCTTTTTCTCAACCGCCAGCCACCCTCCCCAGTGCATTGTTCTTTCCTCTCCATATTGGGCTTTATGCTACTGTATATCTCATCGCATGGCTTTTGCGGTCTCTCAATCATGGCAGGTGGACTGCAGGCTGCGAGTGGGAATAGCACGTCTGTTGTCCACGCGGATCTCAATGCACCAGATGCCATGGCCTCCAAGTTAGTCCAGCTGTCTCTGTCGTGTGTTGCGGAGTTGACCTTGGATCGCCCAACATGAGCCAGGTAATAGTTGAGCTTGAAACTCTGAGCAAGGGATTCATGGGTGGAAAACAGGAGAGAGTAGCTAGGCAGTTGGATGCTTGTATGCAAACCTCTCGTTTAGGCAGATGTCTGGAAGAGGAGATCGATGTGATCAGGAGCACGCATCTAGATTAATGTGCTATCTAATACTGTATATGTGGATAATATACTTTGTAAGTAAAATTGCATAATGTACATAGATTTAGTAACATCGTTCGTTAGTGGGGATGGAAAGTTTGCGTCCGATAGCCGTTATGGTCTGTGCTTGTAGCGAAGCACTGTGGTGATGCCGTCACCCCTAGCAGTGTGCGTGTGGACCCCCAATACCCCGTTCCTTCCGTCCCGTTATGTTCTTCTGACCGTGAATCCCGCTGGATTCATTACACCGAGAATTGTGGAAACATCCTAAGGGGGAAAAATATGCTGGTCAGGATGAGAACTATCTGAGACAGGTAGGGAGCCCCACCTCTTAGTTCTTAGTGAAGTTACACTTTCCCCAGCCACATTCTACGGTCCATCGTCATCGATTGTGTTATTCAGGAATGTCGACACGAAAAGCGGTCGCTCAAGGCAAAGGGAGCTGCTGCTAGTACACTAGGGGGTTCGTCAAAACGGGGGCTGCCCCTGTATGCCCACCCAATAAAATGACACCAGCTGGCTGTGCCTCGAGCTGCTTTCTGTTCTGCCACGTGGACCAAACAGCACTCGTGGGCCGTGCTTCGGTGAACATCTGGTTGTGTGTTCGGCGAGAACACCACCACCCAACCTCCGAATCAGCCGCGCTTCACATCTGGTGTGTGTCTCCCTCGCCGTCTTGTAACCAATTCACGACATCGCACACATCATTGGCGAGTTGTTTACCTGGAGTAACAGCCAATCATTGTGGGTCCAAGAGGACGCAAAACGCAGTAACTGACAATCGTGAACGCTGATCAATTTTCGCCATGCCCTGCTTTCAGAAATTGGCTGGGCTGTGTGGCTCTGGCCCTGGCACTACATTTCGAACATCTGCTGCTGCCAGTTCCATGGGGCGATTGTTGTTACTTGAACTTTTTTCAGGCGCGATCGAAATTGGTGGCAGTACTAGTATCTATCGCATTAGACGTCAGAAACCAAGCCATTGCGTGCGGTGTGAGAAGCCTTTTTGCGGAAACCTACTCGCGGTCGCCGCTTTTGGCAGAAACGACATACCTGGTTCCAGGCCCGACTGGTTTCCTAAAGCGAGAAGTGCGCTGCGTCCACCATCTCTCTAATTCGTCGTCGTGTATTCCTCGCCACCTCCGGCCCAGTAGTGGGCCAGTAGCCAAATATCGGGTCGCGTTGTTCTGATTTCGAAATCACGCGCGGAGCGACCTGTCGGCGAACACCAAGAAGTGACCCGAGCTGCGGCCGCAGCATCTGCCCCGCCGCCGGTTACCCAACACCCCGTCCCCCGCCCGAGTCAGCGGCAGCCATGCGGTTATCGGAGATGCGGTTTGTGTACGGGCAGCTGGGGCACTTGATGGCGGGCATGATCCTGGTGGCCATGGGGCTGCGTGCGCTCGTCTCCATGCTCGACATCATCGTCGCCGCGCTCTGCCCCACCGACCAGTGCCCGAGGCGCTCATGCTCTCCGCCGGCCGCGCCACGGTACGCGACGTGACCGGACGCGACGGGGCGGGACGGGATGTGTACCTTTGGCACCTGGGTAGTCGGGTTTCGGAGTGACGGCACACGCTGAGCCTCGTCGTGCCTCCGTTTCTCACACCCTCCCTCTCCCTTTTGTGCCCTATCCGCGAGATACGGAGAGCCTATCCTATCCTTCTCTAACTCTCTCGACTCCGCTCCCTTCCCCCCCCCCCCCCCCCCCCCCCCTTCCTGCAGGTGGGCGGCATCGCCAACATCATTGTGGCGCCCATATTCGGCGGGCTCTCAGATAAATTTGGCCGCAAGCCCTTCCTGCTGCTCGGCATTGCCGGCATCACCATTCCCTACGGTGGGTCTTTGCCGCACCTGACTTCCAGATTGACTTGACTCCCCTGCTCCGTTACTACGTGCACTCTCTGCTAATGTAACTCGCAGCTCTTGCGAATTCTCCTCTTGTCTCCAACGCTGCTTTGTTGCAACCATCACGGCTCGCCCCCCCGCCCGTCCCCCTTTCCTTCCCTGACAACTGCCCGTGCCCCTTACAGCCATCCTCGCTACCAGCTCCAGTCGCCTGGCCGTGTACCTGTTCTTTGCAGCGGAGACGGCAGGATCGGCCATGGGGGGCTCGGCGTGGCTCAATCTCATCTATGCCTACGTGGTGGGTGGCCTGGTCTCGGCCCGCTCAGCCTACTGCCCTCCTGGCTCTTCCCTGCATGAATCGTACCTTGCCTTACCTTACCTTACCTTACCTTACCTTACTTACCTTGCCTTACCTTGCCTTACCTTGCCTTGCCTTGCCTTACCTTGCCTTACCTTGCCTTACCTTGCCTTACCTGGCCTTACCCTTGCCTTACCTTGCCTTGCCTTACCTTGCTTGCCTTACCTTGCCCTTGCCTTACCCTTGCCTTGCCTTACCTTGCCTTACCTTGCCTTACCTTGCCTTACCTTGCCTTCCTTGCCTTACCTTGCCCTTACCTTGCCTTACTTGCCTTACCTGCCTTACCTTGCTTACCTTGCCTTACCTTGCTTACCTTGCCTTACCTTACCTTGCCTTGGCTCTGCTCAGCAGTTCGCTGCTTCCTTCCTCCCTACGCCCTCCTCACTCTCGCTGTTCCCTATCCCCCCCCTTCGCACACTCCACACACACCGCCTCTTCTCTCTTCTCAACCCCTCATCGCCATGCCATCCCGCATCCTCTTGTCGTTACCTGATCCCTCTTTCCCTCTTTCCTTTCTCTCTCTCTCTCTGCCTCCCTCATTCTCAGGCGGACGTGACACCCGAGTCCAACAGGGCAGCGGCGTTTGGAGCCATCTCTGGCACCACGGCGTTTGGCTTCCTCGCTGGCCCCCTTGTCGCTCGCTTCGTGCCGCCTGCTTTCACCTTCCATGTCAGTCCGCCACATACTTTGCCCTCTTACATCCTCCCCCTCCCCCTCTCATGCTCCCCGCGCCTCCTATCCCTTACTATGCCACCTCAACTTTTGCATCTGAATTCAGCCTGCTAATTTGCAGATTCGCCCCGTTTATAGTCCCATGAACACCGGTTACTGCTATGCGCACGTGCGGTAACCCCATCCTCCATCCCCCATCCCCTGCGCAGGTGGCCACGCTCCTGTGTTTGTGCGGATGGACCTACATCCTGTGCATGGTGCCTGAGTCCGTCCCGTCCCACCGCCTCCTGCGCAAGGCAGCATCGCTGGCAGACGAGGAGCACGGCACCACGCCTGCTGCTGCTGCTGCTGCTGTCGCTGCTGTTGATGGCGCTAGTGCAGCAGCGGGCGATCAACACGGGGGAGGGGTAGGCGATGGCCGTGGGGGTAAAGTGGGGGAGAGGACTTGGCTGCTGGAAGGATGTGCAAATGGTGAGGGCAGGGGGGATAAGGGCGGGGGAGGAGGAGGAGAAGGGGGAGGAGGGAAAGCAGGCAGCAGTGAGGGAGGAGAGGTGGGAGGTGGGGGAGAGGGTGGTGGGCGCGCAGGGGCTCGGGGCGTGGGCCCCATGGGGGAGGCAAGGCGGTGGCGCTGATGCGCAACAGATCGACACTGCGGGAGGCCATCCACGTCATGTCGTCCAGGTGCAACGGCAGGGGGCTCACTGCCAGCATACTGACTGCCAGCATACTGACTGCCAGAATACTGACTGCAAGATACTGACTGCCAGAGTACTGACTGCCAGAATACAGACCGCCAGAATACAGACCGCCAGAGTACAGACCGCCGGAATACAGACAGCCGGAATACAGACCGCCGGAATACGGACCGCCAGATTACGGACCGCCAGAATACGGACTGCCAGAATACAGACCGCCAGAATACAGTCCGCCAGAGTACAGACCGCCGGAACACAGACAGCCGGAATACAGACTGCCGGAATACGGACCGCCAGATTACGGACCACCAGAATACGGACCGCCAGAATAACGACCGCCAGAATACCGACCGCCAGAATACCGACCACCAGAATACCGACCGCCAGAATACCGACCCCCAGAATCCTGACTGCCAGAATGCTGACTGCGGGAAACTGGCTGCCAGAAAACTTTCTGCCAGGGGCTGAATGGGGCTGAATGGTTTTCCTTAGGGGTTCAGGAACAGCAGGAAGAAAGCTATGTTTCTTGTGGAAATAGGGCCAGTGAGGGGGGAAGAGGAGGAAAGGCTGCTGCTTTCTATGTTTCCCATGGATCCCTTCCCTTTTCCTCCCACCCTTCCCCTTCCCTCCCCTGCGTGTGCAGTCCTCTCGTGTCCGTGCTGCTGCTCGTGGCCTTCCTGCACGCCTTCGCTGACAACGGCCAGACGTCCAACATGTTTGTACGTCTCCCATGCGTACCCTCGTCTCAACCTCAACAACAGTAGTCCCGCCAACATCGAATCCCGGTCTGATGCTTCCTTTCACTTCATGCCAAGTGGTCGGTCCACCATGAAAGGTGGGGATAACATAGGAATTTTACGCTCACCGTTCTCCCCATCCCTTGCGCCCGTCCATCTCTCTTCTCTCTCTCTCTCCATCTCCCCCCCATCCCTCGTGGCAGTACGTGTTCAAGGCCAAGTTCCACTGGAACAAGGACGACTTCTCCCTCTACACGGCTGGCATCGGCCTCTTTGCCGTGCTCTCCCAGGTGCGCTGCTCTCCCAGGTGCGCTGCTCGCCCAGCCTCGCTGGTTCTCAGGTATGCTGCTGCCATTTACACACTTCCTCACACCTTCCCTCACACGCACATATTCACCTGCACTCTCACCCATTCTCAACTGTTTCCCCACTCGCTATCTCTCCCCCCCCCCCCTTTCCTCCCCCCACGGCCCCTCCACCAGCTTGTGCTGCTGCCGCTGCTGCTGCAGGTGCTCTCCCTGCGCTCGCTGCTCATCCTCGCCATCTCAGTCAACAGCTTCCACGTGAGTCAAGTCGAGTCAAGCACCACCAGTCTCCTCCTCTCATTCAAGGCACGCATTCTCCTCTGGGTTGAGTCGTTCTCATGTGAGTTAGGCACAATCGTTCTGCCATTTCCGAGTTTTTGGGTGCGAGCTGATTCAAGAGAGCTTTTGAAATCCAAGTGAACGCAGTTGGTCCTTGGTTGATCTCGTTTGCTCCCAGTCAGTCAGGCATGGAAAGCACCGAGAGCAGCACCCCTGTGATTCCTCTCTGTCCACCTCTCTCCCCAGTTCCATCTTTCCTCGTTCTATCCACTCTGTCCCTTGTGCATATGTGCCCGTTTACGCGTGTGGGTTTGCACACATCTGTCTGTCCGTCCCTGTCCATGCATTTATGTGGCTGTACTGTGCCTCCCCTGCCTGTGCCTCCCCTGCCTGTGCCTCCCCTGCCTGTGCCTCCCCTGCCTGGGCCTCCCCTGCACTCAGATGGTCCTGTACGGGCTCGCCTGGAAGCCATGGGTACGTCCCCCCTCCCACTCCCGATCCACTCGGGCACCCACCACCCATCTATCCGCCCATGCCTGCCTGCTGCTAGTCAGTATAACGCGCCCTTAGCCATGCGTGCGTGCATGAGTGCCATGGTCGCAGCAGCTAGCCCCGCGCATGGCAGCAGCCGCACAACTGGGCATTGCCCACCTGAAGCTCTCTCGCTGCTCTCAAATCCAGCTGTCCTTCGCAGGGCTTGTGGCTTATGCTTTGAGGCGCCTAAGTTGATTTGCATGGTTTGTGGCATGGCATGGCATGGCATGGCATGTGAGCAGGTGGTGTACCTTGCACTCTCAATGAGCCTCATCTCCACGCTCACTCAAACATCGGTATGCCCTCTCCTCCTTCAAAGGCCTCCAATGCTGCTGACAGGTTGCTCAAAGGGATGCTCACCGTTTCTTTCTCTCATGCCCAGCTCGTGGTGTACTGTAAAAAGTGCATCCACTGTGATTCTGTCTCTCTCCTCCTTCCACGAGTTCCCTTACCCTTTCCCCTGCCTCCCCCATTGCCCCACTCTCCTCCTCAGATCGGGAGCATGGTGTCGCACCTTGCAAGCCCCAGTGAGCAGGTCAGTCAAGGGGTGGCTGGGATGCGTGGCGATGCATAACTGCACTGCATCCATGGCTGCACTGCACTCATGGCTGCACTGCACCCATGGCTGCTCTGCACCCATGGCTGCACGGGTGCATGGCCGAAGGGGTGGCTCCATGCATTCCTCCTCCTTCCATTCCACCTGTTCTTTCACCCGTCTGTCCTCCTTTTCTCTCTCACAACCACCTCCACCATGTTGTGCGGCTCAATGTGAATCCCCACTTGTCAGGGCAAGCTGCAGGGAGTGGTGTCTGGGGTCTCCTCCCTCTCTGCCGTGCTCGCACCTCTCACCATCAACCCCATCACTGGTGAGCTCACTCCCATAACACGCCGTGGTTGCATTGCACCTGCCCTCACTCACAGGCGCAATGGAGAGGACGGTTGTATGGAGGGGACGGCTGTATGCTATGGAAGGGGGGGTGATATGAAACAAGTGGATTACGCAGAAGAGGAGAGAGAAGGGAAGCACAAGGGAGGGACGTGTTCTACAAGATAATATTTGAGAACATGCTGCAGGTTTACTCCTCTTTTGTCTTCACTCCTCCCATTCTCCACCCTCCCCCCTCCCATCTCCCATCTCCTGTCTCTCCTCTCCGCCCGCCCCTCTCCCCGGCTCCAGCGTACTTCATGTCTGACTCGGCGCCCATCCATCAGCCCGGAGCCGGCATCATCGTTGCAGGCATTGTCGAGGTAAAGGCCCATGCGCTCCTTGGTCTCATCCCCTCCTTGCTCTCCTCCCCTCGTTCTCAATGCTCCCATGGCCCCAACCTCCCTTCCCCCCTTCCATCCCCTCCTGATCAACGTGTCCTTGTCTTCGCTGCTGCACACATCCCAACCTCTCGCACCGCTCGTCACACCTTGCTTCGCCCTCTCCTCCCCCCTTCGTCCTCACCTACCCTCCTCTGCCCTTCCACTCCCTCCTGCCTTTCCGGGTTGCCTCTCATTGCATCCTCTCTAGGCGGTGGCATGTGTCCTCGTGCTGGCACTGCCGCCTGTTGCTGCCAAGCCGGGAGTGAGAGCACTGACAGACCAAGATGCAGGCTCACCAGCACAAGGAAGCCAAGATGATGGTGCTGCGTCTGCAGGCGATGGTTATGGCAGGGGGGTTGGCGTAGATGCATCTGGATCTGGCTCATGTGGTCGAAGCAAGGGCCAGCGCACGGTCACATTTGAACATGGCTTTAGCAGCAGCAGCAATGGTGGAGACAGCAGAGGCAGCAACAGCAGTGGTGCCAGGGATGGTGGTAGCAGCAGCAGCAGCAGCGGCAACAACAACGTCACATCCACAGCTGGGCGAGGCATTGATGGGAGCAGAGAGGGGCATGGCGGCGACAGCTCGATCACCACACCGCTCCTTACATAGCATGTGGATATCAGGATCATCCTGTCCTGCACTCCACACCCTATGTAACCAACATCTGAGGTGCCTTAGAATCATCCCTCCTCATGCACGTTGGTGTGGCGAGGGCGAAGCCTTCCTTCGCACGTGTCTACTACCCCACCTGTATATTGTGGGCATTACCTCCCAGCACCAATAAAACCTGTGCACAGCATGACACTTACCGGTACGAGCTTTTGGAGAATTTGTGTGTAAAAAAAGCGGCGCAAATTTGGGTTTCATTAAAATCAGTTGTCCAAACAAGTGCTCGGTATCAGAATTGAATAATTGAATGATAGATAGAGTGAGAGTACACAAAGATATACCTAAGTGTTGTACTCTCTAAGAGGCGACCCTATACAGTCTATACAAACATGACAAATACACATGTTTGACACACCCCCTAGAGTGCATAGGGGAATGCCCTAAACAAACAGCTCAGGGCGGCACTACTAGTCCAACCTCTGAGACAAGGGTCTAAGAGACCAGTCAGAAGGAGTACAAACAAGGCAAGAACAAGGGCAGGGCGGCACTACTAGTCCAGCCACTGCGAGAGGACACAAGTCCAGTCTGAGTATACGTATAAAGGACAGTACAAAGTCAAGGTCCTAGCAAGTGAGAGGCTACAGGAACTAGACCAAGCTGTACACAGTGCCGCTGATGATCTTTAGGCGCAAGCGCCTTTGTAAAGATATCAGCCGTGTTGGCACCTGAGGCCAAGTGTACTACGCGAGCCTGACATCGCTGCTGTAGCTCACGCAGGAGGAAGTACCGCAGCGGAATGTGCTTCGCTCTGCCCTCGAGTCCAGGCTCCTGACACAGGAGGATCATGGCCCGGTTGTCAGCGAACAGGACCGGGGCAGAGCTAGGCCGCTCACCTAAGTCAGTGAGCAAGAAGGTCAGCCAGCGGAGCTCCTGTGCCGCCATGGCACCAGCGTAGATCTCGGCCTCACAGCTGGACTGTGCTACAGACGAGGAGCGGGTAGCTCTCCACGAGACGGCACCTGAGCCAAGGCTGAAGCAGTAGCCCTGGGTAGACCTGAGCGTCTCAGCGTCGTCTGCCCACGAAGCGTCTGTGTGTCCAGTAAGGACCACTGGCCTGCGTCCTCCTAGCACTAACCCCATGCCCGATGTACTAGCAAGATAACGCAGAACCCTCTTAGCGGCAGACCAGTGCTACGGTCGGTGTCTGCCTGTGGCCACAAAGCGAGCCAGGATGCTGAGAGGGTATGCGAGATCTGGGCGAGTGCAAGTCATCACGTACATGAGGCAACCCACCAGCTCTGCGTAGGGGCCGCTGGGCTCTACCAACTCCTCAGACACTGGAGCGGAGAGTCTGTGGTCTACAGGCAGAGGGGTGGGCTGTGCAGAGGAGAACTGAAGGCTGAACCTCTGAAGGACCTGGCGCACCAAGTGTGACTGAGTCAGGGTGATGGTGCGCGCAGCTCTGTCCCTGGAGATCTGCAAGCCAAGGTAACGGCGCAGTTCTCCAAGGTCAGTGCACGTGTGTCTCTTCAGAAGCTCTGCCTTCACGGAGGCCAGCGCGTCCCTGTCTGCTGTGGCAAAGACCAGGTCGTCGACGTAAACAAGGATGTAGAACGGAGTCTGGCCAGCACGAACGAAGAGTGAAGGGTCTGCAGAAGACGGAAAGAACTGCAGGTCAGTAAGGGTAGCACGAAGAGTGTCGTGCCACTCACGAGGAGCCTGGCGCAGGCCGTAGACGGGGCGCCGCAGGAGCCACTGGGTACCAGGAGGGAAGGTGCCAGTAAAGCCCGGAGGGCGACGCAGGTAGACCTGCTCGTGTAGGCTGCCCTGAAGGAAGGCAGTGGAGAAGTCGAGGGAGTGAAGCTCGTAGTCACGCTGAGTCGCTAGGTGTAACAGAACCCGAAGAGTAGTCATCTTCGGGTCGGAGCGAAGGTCTGGAAGAAGTCCACCCCCTCGCGCTGACTGAAGCCTCTAGCCACATAGCGCGCCTTGAAGACCGGCGGCTCTCCAGGGGGGCGCTTCACCTTGAAAAGCCAGCGGCCATCGACTACGTTCACCCCAGGTGGGGGAACTGCGTCGACGAAGGTGCCGGTGGATCTCCAAGATGCCATCTCCTGCTCCATGGCAGCTATCCACGGTGAGGCCCAGGGTCCCGAGGTCGCCTCAGCGTAAGTGCGAGGGGTCGGGATGTCGAAAGCGTCTGGGTCACCCTCAGGGACTAGCAGCATGGAACAGAGATGGGGAGCAGCCTCAGAGAGAAAGCAAGCTCGATCTGGCGGTCCTCAAGGACGTCACTGCCAAGGGCAGAAGCACCCCCGACAGACGGAGGACAGGCAGGGTCAGAGACCAGAGCGGTGGCGTAGTCAAGGCGGCGGGTAGAGGCGAAGTCAGCGACAGCAGCGACAAGAGTGTCAAGGCACGGGACCGGAACAGACGGGTCGGTAACGAGAGAGGCAAGGACCCGAGGAACAAGAGGACGAGCGGCACGAAGGTAGTCAGACAGCGGGGGGGGGTGCAACAACAAGGGAGGACGGAGGAGGCGACGGCAGAAGGGGAGGGCGAGACGCGTGGGAACGAAGCAACATAGGGTGGGAGCGCAAGACAGGCGAGGCAGGACAAGCACAGGAGGGGCGGTGAGACCAGACGTGCGACGGAGGAGTCGGGTCAGGAGACAGGGGAGGGGACACAGGAGGGGAACGAGGGGGGAGACGAGCCGGGGACGAGTCCGGCGGAGGAAAAATAGGGCCGTAGACAGGAAGAGGAGGAGACGGTGGGGGAGGAACCGACACAGGGTCGGGGGACGGAAGGCCGAGCAGGCGAAGGGCGGACACCGGCGAGGACTGCTGCTGCGGCAGCACAACGGCGACACCTGGACCGCAAGCTGCTCCTCGGCTACCACCAGCACTCTCCACACCCGCACCCCCAGAGGGACCACCCCCAGGGCGACCGGGACGTGCACCCCCAGAGTCAGCGAACGGGTGCTGCGACGGCGGCGGTGGCGGTGGCGGCGGCGGCAGCGACAACGACGGCTGCAGCGGCGGCAGAGGCGGTGGAGGAGGGGACTGGGAAGGGGACGCCAGGGGAGGGGCGGCCGGCGAGGACTGCATAGGAGGGCCACCAGAGTCAGAAGACTCCCCAGCCGGGTCCACCGACGGAAGGGGGGTGACGTGGGACACACCAGAGGGGGCGGGACGGGGAGGAGGAGGAGGAGGGGCAGGGACTACCGGGGAAGGAGTGACCAGGAACGGGGGGGGGTAACCGGGGGACCACGGTGGGGGAAGCGACGGTAGTAGGAGACGGACTCGTCAAAGGTGACGTCACGAGAGTGAAAGAAGCGGTGAGACGGCGGGTGGTAAAAGTGCCAGTCGGACGCGTCAAGGGGAAAACCGAGGAAGACGCAGGGAAAGGTGTGGGCAGTGAGCTTGTCCGTGCCGGAGGCACGGACGTGAGCAAGGCAGCCCCAGACGTGGAACGCAGACGCGTCACCAGGAGACCCAGTCCAAAGACGGGTCGGCGAAACCTGCGACTGCTGAGGGTGCGGCCACAAGTTCAGCTAGTGAGAAGCGTAGCGCACAGCGAACGGCCACAGAAAATGGGGTGCATCGGCATGGATCATGGAGGTGCGAGCCACCTCCATGACCAAACCGATGCGTCGCTCAGCGACCCCATTCTGCTGTGGGGAGTCCGGTAGGGTGAACGTCTGGGTGATGCCCTCCGCACGACAAAAGCGACCAAGGACACCTGAGGCAAACTCGCCACCACGGTCTGAGTGAAGACGCAAGACAGGGAGACCGCGGTGGACACGCGCAGAGACAAGCCAGGGGATGAGAGCGCCAGGCACGTCGGCCTTGCGCTCCAGGGGAAAGACTGTGGTGTAACGAGTGAAGTCGTCGACGAGCACAAAGAAGTAGCGCTCTCGACGCGGCCCAGGGACAGGGGCGGGGCCCCAGACGTCCAGGTGCAGGGTCTGCAGCGGCGCGGAGGTAGGGGGAAACGAGGAGGAGTGAGGGGCACGGCGAAGCCGACCCTCGACACAAGGCGTGCAAGGGGGGGCTGGGGAGGAGGGAAACGCGGGGAGAGAACCTGGGAGACCAAGGACAAGGCCGTGCTGGGACATGTGACGCAGACGCGGGAGCGCAGGGTGACCTAGGCGGTGGTGCCAGAGGATCGTCGGGTGAGTGAGGGACCGACAGGAGCAGGCAGCAGCAACCTGAGTAGACGCAGCCACCTGAGGGAGCACCCCAGCCGGGGGGGTCACGGTGTCCAGAGTGAACAGGCCAGACACCGGGTCCCGGGGGAACGTGGACAGGGGGGCACCGGTGGCGGCCTCGGTACAGACAGCATACCGCTCGTGACCAGGGAACGTAGTGGTGACGCCAAGGTCCTGGAGGCAGCCGACACCAACTAGGTTCCTGGAGAACGAGGGGATATGCAGACCTGTAAGAGAGCCCGAAGGAATCGCCGGGCAGGGAAGGGTGGTGGAACTGCGGGCGACTACCGGACCGCCGGAGGGGTCAGCAAGAGAAATGGCAGCAGGAACAGGAAGCGGCGTCAGGGTGGTGGAGTCGCGGAAGAAACACCGAGAAGCGCCAGAGTCCAAGGTGAAGGAAAGCGAAGCAGAGGCGTCTGGCGACGGAACGACGGCGGAAGCACCAAGACTACACAAAGCAGAGGATCCTACGCCTGACGCAGCAGGGGAGGCTACTCTAGGCACACCTACACTAGGCAACAGTGAGTAATAAGCTGGAAGCACACTAGAGTCATCAGCATACATCACATGCAGAGCAGAAACAATGGCATCCATGTCCATATCAAAGATCTGAATCTGACGACTAAGCAAACTGTGCCAGTCCGGGAGGTCTGGCGACGGGCCGAAGCGCTGACGAAAGAGGTCGTCCAGGCGACGAAAACAGCGGGGAGTGGAGTGACCGATCTTACCGCAAACGAAGCCGCGGCGAGGACCGGTCTGGATCTGGTACTGACAGCGCCCGCCACCAGAGCTACCACTCGACACACCACCACGCGCCCGGCCACCGCCAGCGCCAGGCCACCCGGGCGGGAGGACACTCGGCTGCCGCGTCTGCGACGACTGCTGCGGCTACGGTGAAGGCTGCGACTGCGGCGGCTGCTGCGGCTGCTGCAACTGCAGGGGCGGCAGCTCAGCCGGACTGGGCAGGGTCCCCTCGTCCGCTCCAGCACCAGACGACCCGACCCCACCACTACCCCCTCCCGCACCCCC